AACGGTCTTCAAAGCTGCAATGTACGAGATCACCCGGCTGGTGGAGGACAGCTTTTTGGAAGAGGTGACACGGTGCAGGGACCAGGTCGAGTCGCTGAAGAGGCGACTGAAGTGGTCGGAGAGTCGACGTAAAGAAAAAGACGGTGACAGGAGGGGGAGATGTATTGACTGCGGAAGAGTCGTTGGGTCCGGTGAGGAAGGACCCAGAGTGACAGGTGAGTCTGCCTGCTGTCTAATGTTGTATCAATAGCGTTATATAGGTGAATATATGTACACTTGCTTTTTTTTATGAATTATACAACCAAATTTAATTGATTACCTAACTTGGGGGAAAACCATTGTAGGAAATTAATTCACATTAGATGAAGTCAACAGTGGTCCTCTGCAAAAGCTTTAAAGCAGTCAATATTTATAAATTTAACAATGAATCAAATTAGTACATGTAATGTGAAGGTGTTGCTTGTACTGACAAACTCTCAGATATTTACCGCCCAACTCTTCAGGTCTCCTTAGCTCTACAGAGCATTTTATCTCGTTCAGTGTCACTGTTTTGTTCACTCTATCCGCTCTCATTAACTTTCAGCAGCAGCAACTGTACATTACCTGCCCAGCACTAAAAGGCTGGCACACAAACACTGACATATTATCATCTTCAAAAGTGATTTGGACTTGTGTTACTGTCCACCTGGTGAGTAGTTCAATGTTTCTCTCTTTTAGCTCTGTGTTTGGTCTGTAGTAACTCCTAAGGGAAGTCTGTGAAGATTCTCAGTCATTCAGGTCATAGTTATCCAAAGAAGGTTAAAGTCATGGGCGACTGGACTTGGTTGAAGATACTAGAACACGTTTCGTTCCTCATCCAAAAGACTTCTTCAGTTCTGACTGACTGGTAGGGAAACTTCATCACTTCCCAGGAAACTCAACAAATTGGCCTCAGGTGAGGATGCCAATGGTGGTCGTTCAGTCTTGGCCTTGGGTAGTCCTAATGACCAAAACAGCCAGGAACACTAACGACCAGCGATATCGACGATCCTGGCAAACGATCCCACAGAGGTTAAATAGCTTAGTTTCCCTACCAGTCTGTCAGAACTGAAGAAGTCCTTTGGATGAGGGACGAAACGTCTTCTGGTATCTTCAACCAAGTCCAGTGGCCCTTGACTTTAACCTTCTTGGGACTCCTGAGGGAAACGTCTGTCTCTTGAGCTGCTAAATGCTCCCCTAAGTGCACCAGTTAGTCACCGCTGTTTGGTGCTGGGCAGGTAGTGTACAGTGGGTTTTTTTTAGCTTTTCGTTGACTTCAGCTGCCTGTTGTGGCTGAAAATGATCTGTGAACCTTTGTAGAGCTGAGGGGAGCTGATAATTCTGTGTGGGTTCACCACTACACGCGTGCCCTTTCACATAACCCATAGTCATGTCTGTTGTTATTATTAAAATATTGATTACTTAGATGGAGTATGACCCACCTCAGCCTTTCTAAATCTTTCAAATGCAAATGGAAATACTAGCACATGCTCCAGTTTTTCCCTATCTTCTGCTACAGAGAAAGTCTTAAACAAGAGTGTGTGCTACAAGAAGAGATAAATAGCTCCCTGTGCACTGATGGAGAGACACCTAGGCATGAAGCAGAGGAGACCCACAGTGCCATGAAGGCACCACAGGTAGATGACAGTTGATTACACTATTTGAGCTTCAATATATTACGTTTAAATGTTTAAAACGTGAGTACAGTCAATGGCAATTTCATTGGACTTGTAAGTAGAGTGTCGAGTAAACTTAATAATATTTTTTCAGTAGTCTCTATTTTGTGTAAATTCTCAGTGCTTTTGCATTAAAGGAGACCTGCCTGTTGAACTAATGCTAATCTTATTGTTTCTCTTGAGGTGAGTAGAGCTAAACTTCCAGTATCAATGGTGTCTTTCTACATGTCTGCCAGTCTCCAGGTGTTCAGGGTGAAAAGCTGGATAGACTGCTCAAGGAGGAAGCTTTTCGGATCACGGAAACTAATGAGTCCCAAGAGAGATGGGGAGTCAATGTGAGGGTCAGTGTCTTCATATATGCAGATTCAGAAACAAATTTTTAAAGGGGGTTTTAAGCATATTAATAGCTTGATAGATGATTCACATTCTCAACAGTGGCTTCAAAGTAATTGTTCTCACGGTCCATTTGCTAAACGTGTCATTGTAGTTCCTGTAACCATATTTCTCCTCTCATTGGTCAGAAACGGAGGCATCAGGTGTGCCGGGGCCCAGTAAACGTTACGGTGACCAGAAGATCCCAAAGTGTCACGTGAACTGGGAAGCTGGCTTTGACCAGAGGCCACAATCAGGCCATGGTGGTCACTCAGGTGACCCATCTGAACCCCCTTTCCAGAGCAGGTATGGTATGGAAGACTTGGGTGGCTTTGACAAGACTGGCTATGGAGACGGCAGTATGATAGACATGGGTAACTTGGATGGTTTACAAGGATCACCATCCCACCTGGGTGAGGATCTGAGTTACATGGGACACTATGAGGGGGACGTGGAAGCACCGGAAGAAACCGAGCATCAAACTTACCAAGCAGGCGTCGCACGGAATAGAAGCGGTGCACTTGGTTCACCTGAAGGCTCTCCCTCAAGGACTAACATCGACGTAAGTGGTGAGTTCAGCTGTTTATTGATCAATGAAGAAGGGTATCTACAGGACCAGAGTGTCTTGTACCCCGAACAAATGTCTGGTGAATTAAGCGGCAGGTTGAGCCTCCGGACCCAGGGCATTCGCACTGACCCATCTTTAGACAGCACAGGCGATATGTATGGACCCTCACATGCATACAGTGATACCTTAAACCTGGGAGAGCGGTTGCAGCATCCGGCAGGAGGGAGAGGAGGGAGGAGACACACCTGTAACCAGTGCTCCATATCCTTCCCTGATTCCGCCTCACTAAAGGTCCACAAGCAGACACACAAAGGCACGGGTCAAGTGCCACAATACTCCTGCAACCAGTGCGGAAAGACTTTCACTCAAGCCTGTAACCTCAAAGTCCACCAGAGGATTCACTCTGGGCAAGGGCTTCACCTCTGCAGCCACTGTGGTAAAAGTTTCCCGTCGTTCTCTGACCTGAAGTCCCACAAGTGTGGACAAACAGGTGACAAACCTTACTGCTGCACTGTATGCGGGAACAAGTTCAGCCGTCTCTGGAATCTGAAGTTGCACCGGAGAATTCACACACAGGAAAAACCTCACCAGTGCACAATGTGTGATAAGAGCTTCACACGGGCAGACATACTGAAGGTTCACCAGCGGACCCACACAGGGGAACGCCCATACTGCTGCGCTGTCTGTGGCCTCAGCTTCAAACGCCTGGATCATCTGAAATCGCATCAACGCAAACACATGACAGATCTATAAAACTAGGGACATTTTGGGAGAGCGAATAAGAGAATTTAAGCTTGTTTGATGTACTAAGAGATTTAAAAATGAATGCTTTTATATAAGAACCATGGCTGTTTTTTTTTTAAAAAAAACACAAAGCCCTGTTTTTATTTCTTCTTTTCAATTCCAAGTCCTTGGGTTTTAATTAAAATGTTTTTGTTGGTATGAAAAAGAAAACATACCCATTTCTTGTGTTTGATAAAATACATCTTGTTTGTTGCCCATTTGTTGCTGCATATTTTATTACTGAAAAATTGACTTATAAAAGAGGCTGAGTGACATTATCCTTGTACTTACATTACCGATTCAAAATAAAACTACAAATGATGTCTGTAGATGTTTTCTATAAATGAAATAATTGAGGCATTTGCATTTTTAAAGGATTACTTTCATTTGTCCAATTCTTTTTCTAATTACAGTCTACAATTGACTATAAAGTGAATCCCATGTGGCAAAAGGAAAAACGGGTAAAATTCCTTTACTACAGAACACCCCTAAATAAGTCATACAAGTACATCAACCATTGCCCCGATGTATTATAATGCATTAATCTCAAATGTATATAAGTCAATCAGGCATTTTCATTTGTTTGCCAAAGAGGAAGTAGGGAAAATCAAAGTGGAGCATGAGCTTAAAATTAGAGGCCAACCCAGTGCTGAGCCCTGTTGTTACATATGAGTGCGACAGTAAAGACACATCCGGGTAGCATGATCAAGAGTTTGGAAAATAACAAGGGAAATATTTGTAGGGCTCTGAAAAAAATGATTACTCTAGTTGACATTCCAGTGGTTTCTCGTGTTCATTAGAGAGCTGATCAGAAACCTACTAGCAGGTGGTTTAGAGGACATGATGCAGTTTGGATAGAAGTCAGAGGTGTCACAGAGGCATCTTCATATCTTATCAGGCCTCATCTCAGAAAAAGGACTGATCAGAAGTCACCTTCTTGTTGCTAGAGGAGGAAGAGAGGCAGGTCAAGAGAATAAAAGGGAAATATCTGTGGTTGGAAACATTTTGGAATTTAGAGAGGTAAAATACTGATTAATTAATAAAGTAGTCAAAGATGTTTAAGAACATCCATCAAAGCAACTTATGTATGTTGCCTAACAGGAAAGGGGCTTTTTGGACCTCCATAGGACCAGCAAGAGTCTCTGTGGTGTCTGCATGTTCTTCCCACGGTTGTACAAGGTTTGTCTGGGTGTTCCAGATTTCTGATGAAAATGTTTCTGTCGACCAGTGGCCATTGTCTCTTACAAACTACTAAATGTAATAATTGGAGAGTTGGAATGCACATGATAATTTTCATCAAGGGGATACAAAGTTAACATATCTACGAATATGTGGTAACATAATATCAGTAGGCTAGTATCAAAAACTGGAACTCAATCATAGGCATGATCTATTTTAAAATGGGTATAATCTCACTGTTTGCCGTCTTTCAATGAAGCAGTGAAGGAGAGAGAGATCGTGTCGATTCATCCCTGGTGTAAACAACAGCACTTACTGCTTGGCGCAGCCTATGGGTTTCCCTTTATTAAAACGCGTTTTGTTATTCACACACACTCACAGGTAAGGCCACCGTACTGCGCTGCGAATGATGTCACGAGCAAAAACAACCACCACCAGCGATTGTTACAAAGCTAGCTCGGTGAAATGGTGAGTTCACGTGAATTTGCTCTGCCGAACAGTTGTTTCTCGTGGACTACATAAACCCAGGTGTAAACAGATCAACGCGCTTGGCTCGACTATGGTTTATATGAAGTGTAAGTTAGTCGTGTACGATTTGTTGACAGTTTGACGCCGTCAACGTTAGTTAGCATGCGAATGCTACCGTCAAGCTAAAGAGTCACATTAGCTGGCTAGCTGACAGTCGTGTCAGTAAATAGCTCGTTGGGCATCACCAGTCCAACCTTTTAACGTGTATTATTGAAGGAATATCTGTGTATTGTCCATCAGCTGGAGCACCTACAACAACAAGTGGACGCATAGTTGAAAAGGGACTGCTCTGCGATAATGGTGCTCAACCCAAACAACCTGTGGTAGCATTTACCAAGAAAACTTATGTGGAGTTCTTATCCTTCACTTTTCTTTAATTAGTCATCAAACACACGGAATTCCGTTGTCAGACACGAGACCCTGGCAGTGTATCATGTCGGACCTGGACACCCTCGTTGTGACTTTCCAGACCCAGCTCTCAGATGTGATGGAGACTGTGGTAAAGACGGCCATGTATGAGGTCACCAGGTTGGTGGAGGACGGCTTACTGGAGGAGGTGAAGCGCAGGAGCCAGGAGGTGGAGTCCCTGAGGATGCAGCTGCAGTGGGCTGAGAGAAAGTTATGTGACCAAGCGGAGAAAGAAAGAGGGAAAACTGGCAAGTGTGTTGACTGTGCAAAGGATGATGTGGAACTGTCCAGTGACGCTGCAGAAGAAAGGCCCAAAGAACAGCAGGATGGTAAGGACAAACTTATTATTATTTGGGTATAAAGCACTGTTTGATGATTATATGTACTTCAGTACTTCTTTTTTTTCAGTCATTTTAAGAGGCTGTGGTGTGAAGAAAGAGGATGCCTCTGTGGAAAGGTGGACAAGAAGCCTAAGACAGGAAGTCCTACCAGAGTTACCACAGGCAACAGACAGTCCTAGAGCCACTCACAGCCCTGAGAGGAAAACACAGGTGGGTCACAAGACTAGAGCAGAATTGCTGTCAACAATGCTACATCAACGTTGTTGTACATCAGGTGTTATGCATATCTGCTCTGACGGGAACATTCTTCAGAGCATCCAACCAACAAATCAAAATGAAACCATAGTCAGAATTATCTGATGTATTTACTGTGCTGTTCAGACAATGGAAGAAGAAGAAGATGTGTTGCCAGCAGTGGATGTGAAGGAAGAAGAAATGAATAACCCATCTTGTTCTTCTGTGCATTTGGGAGGGTGGAGTGGAACCCTTGATGGTGAGTATTGTGTCGCCCAGGTCCATTGTTTTCTTGGCATATGAAGTATGGACATTTATCTGTGTATTGTGAAGAAATATGAAACGTGAATTCAAAAGATATGATTTCCTTCACTTAGTATTTTCTTAATACAGTGACGCACCACTGTCCCACACACTTACCGTAACATTTTTGCTGTTTAAAAAGAGCTGACTGAGCCACATTTGACAGGAATTAATTTGCCACTGCGCTTGTATAGATAGAAAGGTTAATATCCTCTCCCGCTGGCAGCTTCTCAAATTTGTGTTGTTTATGTAAAATTTTGTCTTAATAAAGAGTACTTTTCAGTATTTCCCACAGAATGACTGTGGCAGTGGGTTATATTTCTATTTTTAGTATTTCTTATTTCACCATTTTAATTCTACTTCATTTTCTATTCCACACACACACCCCTACACCTCTGGTCTGTTACTGCAAACACACAGGCTTGCCCCACCTCTGTCTCTCCCTGTATGGTTCTGCTCTGCTGACTTTCTCTGTCAGCAGTATGTTTTATAAAGTTGCAGAGAAGACACAAACCCTGTCTTTTGGATTTTTCCACCGGCGAGTCTATTTTCACAGCAGCAGGTGCACCGCATGTGGAGGAGGCTTGTTGTTCATGAACTAGCCTATGAATATTAAAATGATCAAAACCAACGTGGTACTAAATGACATCTGCGCTGGTGTGTTCACTGCTGCTTTACCTGGTCTGTGCTCATAAAATATCTGAAGTAAAGTGTCCGTGTCATGTAATGTAATACCAGATAACATCTGTCTTTGTTTCTCTGCAAAATGCTACAATACGACAATGTCGCGAAATACAGTGGGTACGGAAAGTATTCAGACCCCTTTAAATTTTTCACTTTGTTTCATTGCAGCCATTTTCCAAAAATCAAGTTTTTCAAAGTTTTTTATTTTTCAGTAATGTACACTCAGCACCCCATCTTGACAGAAAAAAAACAAATGTAGAAATTTTTGCAAATTTATTAAAAAAGAAAAACTGAAATATCACATGGTCATAAGTATTCAGACCCTTTGCTCAGTATTTAGTAGAAGCACCCTTTTGATCTAATACAGCCATGAGTCGTTTTGGGAAAGATGCAACAAGTTTTTCACATCTGGATTTGGGTATCCTCTGCCATTCCTCCTTGCAGATCCTCTCCAGTTCTGTCAGGTTGGATGGTAAACGTTGGTGGACAGCCATTTTCAGGTCTCTCCAGAGATGCTCAATTGGGTTTAAGTCAGGGCTCTGGCTGGGCCATTCAAGAACAGCCACGGAGTTGTTGTGAAGCCACTCCTTCGTTATTTTAGCGGTGTGCTTAGGGTCATTGTCTTGTTGGAAGGTAAACCTTCGGCCCAGTCTGAGGTCCAGAGCACTCTGGAAAAGGTTTTCGTCCAGGATATCCCTGTACTTGGCCGCATTCATCTTTCCCTCGATTGCAACCAGTCGTCCTGTCCCTGCAGCTGAAAAACACCCCCACAGCATGATGCTGCCACCACCATGCTTCACTGTTGAGACTGTATTGGACAGGTGATGAGCAGTGCCTGGTTTTCTCCACACATACCGCTTAGAATTAAGGCCATAAAGTTCTATCTTGGTCTCATCAGACCAGAGGATCTTATTTATCACCATCTTGGAGTCCTTCAGGTGTTTTTTAGCAAACTCCATGCGGGCTTTCATGTGTCTTGCACTGAGGAGAGGCTTCCGTCGGGCCACTCTGCCATAAAGCCCCACTGGTGGATTGCTGCAGTGATGGTTGACTTACTACAACTTTCTCCCATCTCCCGACTGCATCTCTGGAGCTCAGCCACAGTGACCTTTGGGTTCTTCTTTACCTCTCCCACCAAGGCTCTTCTCCCCCGATAGCTCAGTTTGGCCGGACGGCCAGCTCTAGGAAGGGTTCTGGTCGTCCCAAACGTCTTCCATTTGAGGATTATGGAGGCCACTGTGCTCTTAGGAACCTTAAGTGCAGCAGAAAATTTTTTGTAACCTTGGCCAGATCTGTGCCTTGCCACAATTCTGTCTCTGAGCTCTTCAGGCAGTTCCTTTGACCTCATGATTCTCATTTGCTCTGACATGCACTGTGAGCTGTAAGGTCTTATATAGACAGGTGTGTGGCTTTCCTAATCAAGTCCAATCAGTATAATCAAACACAGCTGGACTCAAATGAAGGTGTAGAACCATCTCAAGGATGATCAGAAGAAATAGACAGCACCTGAGTTAAATATGAGTGTCACAGCAAAGGGTCTGAATACTTATGACCATGTGATATTTCAGTTTTTCTTTTTTAATAAATTTGCAAAAATTTCTACATTTCTGTTTTTTTCTGTCAAGATGGGGTGCTGAGTGTACATTACTGAGAAATAAAATGAACTTTTTTGATTTTTGGAAAATGGCTGCAATGAAACAAAGAGTGAAAAATTTAAAGGGGTCTGAATACTTTCCGTACCCACTGTATACCTGGGTGGCCCTCACAAGTAAAGTCTATATGTGGGAAACACTGCTTTTTTTTGTAAATCTATGCCATGTCTTCTGTAATAAATAGAATGTGTTTACAAATCCTCTTACATAGGCAGACTATTTCTAAGTTATAAAATGATTTCAGTGGTTGGAATATTATGTTTTCAGGTTCTAGACCAAAATACTGAGCTGACACATGTAAGCTGTGGTAATAACCAAGTTGATTTTTGGTATCCATCTACTTGAAAAAGGCAGTTGAAGCAAAAATACAACCTCTGTTTCTATTCATTTATCAGGTGAAGCAGGACCTGAATCCCACAGGGCTACGAGATGGCTGAGGAACAACCGAAACAAACTCAAGAGAACAGTGAGGAATTATTGAGAAGTGTCATCAAACAAGACCCACAGATCTCTTCTGCATATGTCTTTACCGAAGAGCAGGAGGAAACGCACATGGCCACAGATCCGTCTTTAGAAGTGGACAGTGTTTGGGCTGGCCTGACTGTCACAACAGCTGCAGTACTGCAGACTCACAAACATGCAACAGAAAAGGACTGTGATCCAGCCAAAGCTAGAGGTTCTTTAACGCAAACAGAACATCAGCTGAGCAACTCTTGCACAGAAGATGTTAATCTTCTGGTCATCCCAGGTGGAGATCTGATTTCACCCTCCTCATCCCTTGATGCAAGACTCCAAAACAGTGAGACGTTGGGTGTGACAGTCAAGCACGAGGTTACGGGTTCTGGTGGGTGTGTGGAAAGCAAGCATAAAGAGAAGAAAATGACAAAGTCTGGGCTGGCATCTTACTCAGGTTCAGGAAAACAGCACAGGCTGAGTTCAGACGTACTCAAGCAAAACCACATTTCCCATAAAGCCACTGTGCAGGAGGTCATGAAGCTGCATTCCAAAGTGGGTGCAGGGCTCAGACTGCAAGCTGCTATACAGCACCTCCACCGACCGATGAAAAAGCCCCCTCACACGCTCTCGAACAGCACCACAGCAGCACTGTCTATAGCTCACTCTCAGGTTGTCAGCTTAAATCCCCTCAACAGGGTTCCCTCCACATCTAAAGCCGCTCCTCCTCCTCCGCTCTCAGTCCAGCGAGCTCACCTGGGTGACAAACAAGCGGCGGCACACAACCGAACGGGCGCACCTTGGGTCAGCATCAAAACCCAACATCTGTCTACAGACTCTCACAACACCAACCCCTTACCTCATCCTGACTCTCACCCTCACGCTGGCCCCAGGCACCTCCTGCGCTGTGGCCAGTGTGGGAAGTGCTTTCCCCACCCCAGTAACCTGAAGGCCCACTTGCAGACGCACACAGGTGAGCGGCCTTTCTGCTGCTCCCTCTGTGGTCGCAGCTTCACCAAGCTGAGCAACCTCAAGGCCCACCGACGGGTCCACACCGGGGAAAGGCCGTACTGCTGCTTGGCTTGTGGCAAACGCTTCACCCAAAAATGTAACCTGAAACGCCACCAGAGGATCCATCTGGATGTATGATGATTGACAGCCAGTGAGAAAAAGACATTTGGTGTGTTTGCTTTGCAGTGTAATACAGTTGCAGTGGTGCATTGTATTCTTTTGTACTAGTCTCATGAAGTCATTGTCCCAAGTTCTTCTGCGCATTCCAGAAAAGTTCATCTAGTAACTTACAAAGGTGTTGTAGTGTTATTAAAGGACGAAAAGCACTGTGTTGTGAAGTGTATAATCCACAGAGATAGGTCAATTGTCACTTTTTGTCAATAAATAATTATTTATTCTGTGACTGCTCAAATTCTTCCATTATATTGCACCATGCCTGTGAGCACAAAAGCACTTACTGTATATTTGACCATGGATCAGCGTCTGTATTTACCAACCTGCTGAAAGGGACATTTTGGAAAAGTAAAAACTTTTACTCAAATTTAAATCTGTTGCCAAATGATTTATGATGGAGAGCTCCAGAGGTCTCTAAATTGGTTAAGATTAGATCCTAGATGGCTGCAGTACAGAAACATGTTCATCATTGGTCGGGAGTTAGGCGCTACACTTCAGAACAGTGTAATTTTAGCTTATTTGCATTTAATTGAAACATTGAAACTGTTCCATATTTCACATGTTAATTGCTTCTGGAGATATTGAGGATGAAAAAAGTCAAATGAGCTATTTTAATACGTTTAAATTGTACACTTTCTTTAAAAGGGATCAACAATAGGGCAGATCTCGGTTGACTGCTGGTCATTGGTTGGCTGTTTTTTGAGGATGCATACTGATTGATTTTACAGTGTAAAAGAAATGCATTTTACTTTATAGCAAATCACATGACTAAAAACAAAAGCAAACATGATTGGAAATGATTGGCTACTCCTGCTCTGAGCATACGTGTGATTAATGTTAACATATTACTCTTACACTTAACTGTAAGTAGGAGTAACTTGATAAATGTGTCTTACACATAACATCAAGGACTTAAAAAATGTTTTTCCTCCAATTGAAGATCTGTGTGTTTTTGTTTACGTGAGTATGATCTCTTTCAAGTTTGCTGTACTAAAGTCCTGAAGACTGCACCTTTTGAGAACTGACAGCACTTAGATGATCATGAGTGATGACTGGATCCATGCTGATAAAAATAACCGTAGATTAAATTCAGCTATGTCACCAAAATAAAAAAGCTTCTCCAAAAATATCTCAGTCAAGTTTTACAGCATTACAGTAGTATCTTGATTGACCACTTGATGTCAGCCTTTACCCTAACTTTGTGCAAATATCGGACCACAGCAGAGATTTTCAAATGATATTAGTTATCTTGTCTGGCTGCTAATGTATTAATGCAATACATGAGTACTCTGAAAGAAAATCATTCCATTAGAGTAACAATTCATAGTTCATTATAGTTGATCTGTGTGCCCAAGCCTGTGTGTTTGTGCATGTGTGTGCTTTGCATTTCTCATGTTCAGGATTAAGCTTGATGTGTTGTATCTGTAGTTAGAGTCGGAGCAGCACTGTGTAGGTGGTACAACCAATAACATTTTAATCTTATTCTCATGGTGAGGTAAAAGCTAGCAGGGACTAAACTCTCTCTCTCTCCCTGTGTGTGTGTGTGAGAGAGAATGTGGATTAAAGCAGTGCTTCTGTTCTAGATGATATATTTCCTTTTTGATGTTTGAACCCAATAATAAGAGAAGTTATCTATGAGCAGCAATTGAGAAATACATACTTCGCTGAATCTGCAGTGAGCATAATAGATAGTGGTGGCTATGTGAGGGGACTGTGAAACCAGTCTGTTGGCTCTCGGTTAAATGTGTGGGAGTGCACAGCATATTAACATATTCCCCTTATGTTAGCCAATATACGCCTTTTGTCTGTGTGCATCAAACTATGCTAAAACATGAGCTACAGCGGTATTCAGCTCATTTTAGGAGTTTTTCCTCTAACTGGGCTGCTCGGAAGCATTTCTTCGGAAGATTATTTGTGTTTGATTACTTTTTACACCCCACAAACCACTTTAATTTTCCATTCCTCCTCTCTTTAGCTTCTTCATTTGGCCAAATATCATGTTTTTTCTACAAACTATTTTTCTGGCCCTTCAGTGAATTATTAGCCACACTATGTACAAGTATTGTGTGCAATATGAGACTGTTTGGCTTTTCCTTTACCAATATCTAAAAACTACTTAAAGCTAAGCTTCTGTTCAGTTGGATTTATTTAAACTGAAGAAGGTCATACAAAAAAGAGAGTTAAAGGGGAACTAGTAAACTTTTTAGTATTTTCTTATCTATAGTGTTACAATGTCAGATGTTTATGTTAAACATGTCAAAAGTTTAAAATAATGAGGCAAACATATTTTTAAAAAATCCCTCTGAGCCAAAACATCAGATTTTCCCCTGTTGTGAACACTTCGCTTCACAAACAGTTTGTTCTACTCACAACTCTGTATGATGTCATACAGAGCTGGATTTCCATTTATAGTCATTTGCCTGCAGCCTATGGAGGGATTATTTGGTCAGAACTAAAACTAAAGTAAGTCGAAAATGAATTTGGTATTTAGGATTGGGCATTTAACCATTTAAGATTGGGTATTTGGTATTTAGGATTGGGCATTTAACCATTTAAGATTGGGTATTTGGTATTTAGGATAGGGCATTTTGTATTTATGATTGGGCATTTTGTATTTAGGATTGGGCATTTTGTATTTAGGATAGGGCATTTTGTATTTAGGATTGGGCATTTGGTATTTAGGATTGGGTATTTGGTATTTAGGATTGGGCATTTGGTATTTAGGATTGGGCATTTAGTCATTTAGCCATTTAGGATTGGGGATTGGGGATTTGGGGATTGAGAATTGAGTTGTGTATGCAAATGAGGAGGCGTAACCCAAATGCTGCAGGGAGGGTTTGGAACAGCAGAGGCGCAGAGGCACTTTATGGACTGCAGGGGGAGCTCTGACTGCCATGAAAGCTAGCAGAGGAAGTGAGCAGAGGAAGTGAGCAGGGCTGGAGGGAGGACTATCATTTATAATACCATAACTAAAAGTGTACAGCATTTCTGTCCATGTGGCCTCACACACAAAGTCAACAGTGAAAGGAATGCTATCCATCTGACGAGAAAACAGCGGACAGTACAGCAGCTAAGATATGATAACATTAGCAAGTTAGCTATAGTAGGCTAACTGTTGCTGACATGCATGCTGTCGGTACATGCAGGTTTTAAATGTGGCTATTAACCCCGCTGTGTTCTGTGTGTATAAACTGCAAGGATAAGGTGTAGAAGCTGTGTTTCTGGGTAATAGCACCATGCTGGGCAGGTGACAGGTGTGTGTTTACAGTGTTTGTGTGCTTTGAAAAACATAACAGCGCAGCTATAAAGTCTCAGCCAGCAGACCTAGTATGGTATCATTACTACACACATATGGATGTAACATTGAGGCCTGATAGACATCCGCTAATCAGAAACAGAGGACACTACCTGCATCACTGCCGATGTCATTTGACCAGGGAGTGAATGGTGATTAATGCGATTGTCAGTGTTTTCCTATAGTGTCTCCTTTTGTTCTTTCACTTCACTGTGTTTCCAGTGTTCCCGTCTGTCCCTGTGTTTGTTATTGCCCCATGCTCAGTCTCCTGGCTCCCACTCAGCTGCCTATTAGGGTCTAAAGTCTACACTAGAGGTGTTTGAGGTTTACGCAAGCTCCAGTTTTTCCCCACTGACTTGTCCTCCCCCCCTGCAGACAAAGATGTATCACCTGGACATGAAGGACAACTTGGTATCACAGCTTTGGATCAGCCATCTGTAGCAGAGTCCCAGTCGAGAGTGAAAGAAAGATGGCACCTGTGTGTTCGGCTGGCCGTCGGTCTCTCTCGTATTTATTTTTATGGATATATTTATGGATGTCTATCTGGG